GGTCGAAATTTCTCGCGATGTTTTTTTCAATCGACACAACCGTAATCAACTGCTAACCAATCCCAGCACTAGGCGTGAAGTTCAGGGTCTCAGAATAAAGCAAATCGCTTACCAGCCCGAAACAAGTTAGAAACATTGGTCAAAATTCTGGTCAATAGTCCGCGCGCAAGTCGGTGCCACGCTGTAAGTTGCTTGTTCCTCATTGGTTGCTATAACTATACAACATTGTGACAGGGTGCTCGTGTTTGGTTTGTACAGATCTCGTATTGCAGTATCGGGCAGTACTGTACAAGAATCAATCATGAGCCCCCTGTCTGCCACTGCCTCAATGCTTCACATGAAAAAAACAGCAAGAGCACGGCAGGTGGCTGTTATCGTCGCTGCGTGCAGCAGTCACTTGCGTACTTAATTTCATGGCTCGTCGCCCATTTGGGTGGAAACGAAATATTTCGCGGTTTTTTATTTAAGTGACAACCGAAATCAGCTGCAACAAATTCCCTGCACTGCGCGTGAAGTTATGAGTCTTAGACAAGTAAAATTATTTACCAGCACAAAACGATTTCGAAACATTGGGCAAAACTCTGCTCAATAGTCTCGAGCGTAGGACTATGCCACGCTGTAAATTGCATGTTCCTCATTGGCTGCAATCACAACATCACAGCACGAACAGCGGGACAGCGTGCCATGCTAATTTATCCGACGAGCTGTTTGTGATTCGTTGATTTTACTGCAGCAACAGTGCGCCAGTTAAATCTGCGACAACAGCAGTTTCACACTATGCTCGGTAGACACACCCAGTATTAGAGATTTTGATTGTATAGTTTTTGGTTCAGAAACAGGTATATCAGCCTGTGATTGTTATTGTTTATTGGTGTTGTTGTGCCATGGTTGCCAAAACAACAAATACAGATACACAAACTGACATCGCACGTCTGTCTGTATCTTCCAGTGCTTCAATACTCTTCAACAAGTGAAAATCATCATTCAGAATCGCTAGAAACAGAATCTGTTTAATAGCCAACTGTCATCCCCTATGAACGGCTGCACTAGATGCACCGCTCTCTTGATGCTTGCGGTCTCTACTACCCGGTAACGATCATCGAGGTCTGCCCACTTCAGCTTCACACACTTCGTTACCGGGTCTAGGGCCCTAGTAGCCTCGTAGTATTTTATGAATGCTTAGTCTTTCTTGGTCCCATTCTCTACGATTCGAAACAGGAGTAGTAACTTAGCATACCACTCTGAATCACCCTCTTCTCTCTCAGTCCCTAGCACAGCTACATCTGAGAACCATGGCCTTCCGTGGAAGGAAGGAAGCGCACGGATGCGGTGAGGAAGGCGAGAGAACTCTGTCAACGGGAGTTGTGCGTTGGCCCCGTCCTCGCTTGGGCGGAGCCGACTTCGTGGTCGAGTGTGAGGGAAGCAGCCGACCTGCAGCAGTGGGCGAGCTGGTTGACGAGGAGGTCGACCTGCAGTGGGGCCACTGCGCGGGCGCTAACTTCAGGTTGGCGCCGACTTCGGGGAGGTCAACCTGGGAAGTCGACCTGCGGAGGACGTCAACTTGGTGACGTCAACTTGGGGCAGCCGACTTGGGTGGTCGGCCGACAACTGCGCTGGTCGACATGAAGCTGGTCGACCAGGACTGCTGGTCGACGTGGAGCTGGTCGACCAGAAGTGACGTCGACCTGGAGCTGGTCGACCAGGCGCGTGGTCGACCTGGTGAGGTCGACTTGGAGTGGCCGTTGACTTGGGAGGTTGACGGGCACATACAGAAGCAGCTGGTCGACGTGGTTGCCCGGTCGACCAGGTTATCTGGGTGACAAGGTTCTACGGAGGAGTGCGACGGTCGCCCAAGCGAAGTTGGCGAGCCCGACCTCGGGGGTGGTATCCCAAGGTCGACATGGCGGATCATGTGGAGTCGTCAGCACGAGGATGACTTGGTGTGTGCGTTGTGCAGGTGACGAGGCTCAGCCTGCCAATCATCTGCGCGCACCTGCGAAGCGGGTGCACTGCTGTTCTGCGTGAGCAACGCTGGCACGCCGTCAACCTGCAACGTTGGCACGCCGTCGACTTTGCACTGCTGGAGCGCGGTCGACGGTGTCGTGCTGGAACGCGGTCGGCCGAGCTGTGCTGGCAGTCGACCGACCTGAATGCTAGCTCTGATGTAGTCTTGCCATGCCAACTTCATTGAACCATTGTTGTCAACTTTCTCTAGTGAAACTCTTGCCAATTCTCCCCCATGAACTAGCAAGCTGTATGTGCACTAGGAAAACGACTAAGGACCAACGAACGCAGAGATCACACGAGAACCCGTGCCAATCCCGTATTCTAGCTCCCGTTGTAGTAGTTATCTCCACAAACTCTGCATCTACGGCTGCAGGCATTGCTAGCTCGGTGTGAACCTGGATGTGCGTGATATCCTCGCCCCTACACTTCGGTGCAATGTTCAAGGCACCCCTGAGGAATGGCAGCTCTTCCCGTAGAGCTTCGGCATAAGCCTTGTCCCTTTTGCCATCTGAAGTTTGTGGTTGTGGCACTTCCGGAGCCTTTGGTACCACCAACTTCCAACTTGTGCGAGACAAGAAGCGTGTGCCTGTCCGTTGGGCCATGAGCATGGCCATGTCATACCTTTTCCTCTTGCCCAAGAGTGGTGCAAGTGGCTGCAAGCGCAGGCGCTGGACCTCGGAGCTAACTATTTGAGACCCCACGCTCCGCTTGTTAGAGGCACGGTACGGATGTTTTATGCACTCGATGTGCAAGTGTTCAAAGAGCTGCGCACTATAGTGCTCCGGAACACCCGCACGCTTGATGGCGTCAATGAAAACACTCACCAAGTGTGCTTTCACAATTTTCCAGCCGGAGTGTTGCTTGAATGCACGTGTAAGGCCGTTGAGCATTTTCTCTGCCCGTTGCTTTAAGTCTAGGAGTGACTCATCAGTGTGCTCAGTCACACGTGCACAATGCAAGTACCACTCTACATATGCAATCAATGCATCCATTTGTGGCTGCGTGACGAACGTGGTAACAAGGAAGGGAAGTACTTGCATCACACTACGATGCTCGTATGCTTGGTCGTTGGCACCTTTAGAGATGTATGTGCCGGCTGGTAGGCGCATAAACGCACTTCGAGCGATGCTACGTAGATACTTTAGCCTCCTATCCAGCAAATTCCTTCGTGCATCGGTCATTTTAGTGCCGGGTGTGTCACCACCTTGACGAATGCATTCCACTATGTGTTCCAACAACCCCAAATCTGCTTGGTGCATGATGTCGGGCATGACACAAAGGTATGGGTTGAGAAGTGGTTCAGATTCCCACCGCCATCCCCATAGGCAACACTCGACGGGATGCATTGACAAGTCATCGTGTTGCGTAGCATCATACGCACCACTCTTTATGATTCGGTACAATGATCGATGGACATGAGGTGTCCTATCGACCATGCCACGCTTAAAATGAGCTAATTCATCCCGTTTTGTGAGGCAGATGGAGCATGGTTGAGTTGTGCTTCCCGACTTTGTGCACGTGACCTTGCATGATTCAGGATAGTCACACACATACACATAAAGAGCAGGCCATGCGTTCAAGGTTTCACCATTGGAACCTTTGATCTTAATACACGTGTGAGACGCACGCTTGAGTGGGGCTAGCACTTGGTTAAGCACATGTTGGAACACAACAAGCTTATCCAACGAGTCGTACTCTACTGTAAATTCCGGGAGAAGAGCGAGTAGCACGTGCCCGTGCTTCTTCCACCTCTCTTCCCTTAGAATATTGGCCAGCGTCATGTATAAGGGGTGGCCTTTCGCCTTACCCCGCTGGTCCATGTGCGTCGCATCCGACGCTAGTATAAGAGCAGCGACAAAGCCATCCACCACCTCTTTGAGAATATTTTCTTGCATTTTTAACCACCAATCTCCCGTTTCTGGATTGGACTAAACATGCTTCTCCCCGGGTTTGCGAGTTGTCGCTTCCTTGACAATCTTACCCTCAAGCTTCGGATGTGTGAGAAGCTCTTTCAGCGCTAGAAGGCCATCACAATAGTGATATTCAAGCCATGACTTTGTCCTAACACGCACCCTGGCCTTCTTCCAGCCCCTCAACGTATCAGGAACCCTCGACTCAGCGTACTTTTCAACATCACGAATGCTTTTCCAATGGGCAATGTCATACAACCGTGTGCTTGCATGACAGAAGATTGCCAACAAGGTAGCAATCTGGCTTTGTGACAGATTCTCCATCAACAACCAGTGTGCAAGGGCATCCATGAAGTTGAATGGACGTTCCTCGACATCATCAGATCCGGGAATCCCGAGGCTTTCCGTCTCAGCAGGTGCTGCCTCCCCAGATGTACCCTCACCCCCCCCCCCCCCCCCAACCTCATCCGGCATGTTTATAGCAACAAGTACATCACAAGGCATGCAGTCCTCATCATCATCACTATCTGAGCTACTGTCACTGTCACTATCTACATCTGAAACAAAATCTCCTGGCACCATGCTATCCTGCAAAGTTTCAACAGCATCACATACAACAGGAGGGTCATCTAACTCCACGGGCGTAAGTTTGAATGATGGGATGTGCGCCACTGGCGCTCAGTGTTGTCGCGGTAGAAGGTACGGATTGCTACCACTTGTAGATGCAACCGCAGGCAGTCTCACGGCCCTGCACGCCTGGCTTCGCTGGTGTGAAGCAAGAGCTTGTGCTGTGTCAAAATATGCCTGTGCTGGGCATTTGCTACACGTGTATGCCATCTGCAAACAAGACAGCAAACCACGTGCGCTGGATAATGGAACAGAGAAATAAAGAGATCAGGGAGCGACGGAGAGAGAGAACGGGACAGCGAGAGAGCACAGGAGCTACGTAGGGAGAGTACGGGGCAAGCAAGAGAGCACAGGAGTGACGGAGAAAGAGAGCGGGACATCGAGAGAGCACTAGAGCGACGGAGCGCGCGCATGCGACTGGGATTGAGCACGGGGCGACGGAGAGAGTTAATGCGACTAACGGAGAGCAAGGGAGCGACAGAGAGAGAGAGAACGCGAAAGAAAGATATAACGGGAGGGACGGAGCGCGCGATTACTATCAAGAAAGAGCGAATGCGAGAGAGCGAGAGCACGGGAGCGACGGAGCACGAGAACGATAGCGCGCACGCGAGCGAGAGAGATACAACGGGAACGAGAGCGGCCGGGACAGAGAACGGGAGCAAAGGAGATGGCGAATGCGACGGTGGGAGAGCTTGGGAATGACGAAGAGGGAGAATGCAATGGTGAGAGAGCACGGGAGTGATGGAGAGAGAGAATGCGACCGTGGGAGAGCACGGGATCGACGGAGGGAGAGGATGCGACGGTGGGAGAGCGGACTGGAGGGACGGAGAGAGAGAATGCGACGCTAAAAGAGCACGGGAGCGATGGAGAGAGCTTTTGCGATCGAGGGAGAGCGGACGGGAGGGACGGCGTGCGAATGAGGTATGGAGAGCGCACAGGAGGGTCGGAGATAACGAACGTAAGTGAGAGTGGACGGAATGGACGGAGCGCGCGAATGCGGAAGGGAGAGCTCACGGAATGGACGGAGAGAGCGATAGCGAGAGGTATAGCAGACGGGGGAGACGAAGCGCGCGAAAGCGGAAGGTAGAGCGCATGGAATGGACGGAGAGAGCCAGTGCGAAGGGAGAGCGGACGGGATGGACGGAGCGCCAGAATGCGGAAGGGAGAGCGCACGGGAGGGACGGACCGCGCAAATGCGAACGATAGCGAGCACGGGAGCGACGAAGTTAGCGAATGCGAAATGGAGAGCGGACGGGTGGGACGGAGTGCGCGAACGGAACCAAGAGAGAGAGAGAGAGAGAGAGAGAGAGAGAGAGAGAGAGAGAGAGAGAGAGAGAGAGAGAGAGAGAGAGAGAGAGAGAGAACGAGAACGTGAACGCGCACGAAATGCGAGAGAGAGAATGGGACCGATGTCGAGCACAAATGGGGGATAGAGATAGAGCGGGAACTAGAGATGATTTTAAAATGAGAGAACGAGAGAACGTTGAGAGAGAGACATGAACTCACCTTATTTCACCGATGAGACCAGATGGACGTGAGTCCCTGACACGAGGCACGACCGCAACACCACGAGAAAACGACCGTAAAAACGCGACCCCAAAAGGCGTGCGTACTACCAGTATCACAGTCTTGCAACATTCGTAGTGACTAAGCGAAAAAGGCCACGAAAGTGATTTCGGAATGGCCAAGAATGTGAATCTGGAACAAGTCCAACTAATGAACGAGTTCGAGAGGTAAGTGGGACACTAGTGTGCTGGACACGTAGGAAATTCATCCGCAACCAAAAATTGCGAAAGGGAAATCCACCAGTAAGGTGTTGTTGGCGAGTCGCCGAAATAATTCGTATATGCGCGTTGAAAGGCCAGAGTAACTTTGCGAAACGAGGGTGCCTTTCCGAATCGCGTTCCTAGCATAAGCGGGGAAATTCTACGGACCGCCGCGATCTGGGTTCCTAAATTTCGCGGATGAATTCGAGTTCACATTTCCTAGGCGAAAAAGAATGGTAATGGTCAAATCGCACCCCCAACGACAACGTAAAATGTTACTCAACTGGAAAGTGTACATGAATTTGTAACAATATGTCAAACTCATATCATATTTGTCTAGGCTATAGTGGGGTAGACACTATGGGGTACAGTTTCCTAGGGTTTCCTACTTGTACCCCACCTTGTGCTAGTTCATTCATTCCTCATTCTTCACATGGTATTAGAGCAGGTTCCCTCGTGGGAACGCTTCTCAGGGCCCACCACCTAACTTGACCTTTTTTTTTCCTGCCCGAGGCGTGCCCCGTAGGTCGCCCTCACGTTGCGCCCTCCTAGAGGCCCCTCGCGCCACCCTTAGCGGCCCCGTCGCCGTCCTTAGCGATCCCGTCGCCGCCCCTCTAGGCCCCTCGCGGCCCCTTCACGGCCCCGCCGCCGCCGCTCTAGGCCCCGTCGCCGCCGCTCTAGGCCCCTCGCGGCCCCTTCACGGCCCTGTCGCCGCCGCTCTAGGCCCCGTCAACGTCCCTACAGGCTCCTCGCGGCCCCTTCACGGCCCCGTCGCCGCCCCTAGCGGCCCCGTCGCAGCCCCTCTAGGCCCCTCGCGGCCCCTTCGCGGCCCCGTCGCCGCCACTTGCGGCCCCGTCGCCGCCCCCTCTAGGCCCCTTACGGCCCCTTCGCGGCCTCGTCGCCGCCCCTCTAGGCCCCTCTGCGGCCCCGTCGCCGCCCCTAGCGGCCCCGTCGCCGCCCCCCCTTCGCGGCAACCTCGCCGCCCTTAGTGGCCCCGTCGCCGCCCCTAGCGGCCCCATCGCCGCCTCTACCGGCCCCGTCGCCGCCTCTACCGGCCCCTTCACTGCTGAGCCGCCCAGCAGCTGAGCCGCCGAGCCGCCCAGCAACCGAGCCGCCGAGCCGCCCAGCAGCTGAGCCGCCCAACAGCCGAGCCGCCGAGCCGGCCAGCAGCCGAGCCACCAAGCCGCCGAGCCGCCCAGCAACCGAGCCGCCGAGCCGCCCAGCAGCCGAGCCGCCGAGCCGCCCAGCAACCAAGCCGCCGAGCCGCCCAACAACCGGCGCGCCCCGGCCCTACTTCCTCGGACTGGTGAGATCACTCCCTGCTAGGCCACTGCAGTCATGGCTACCCCCAGTGTCCTTACCTTAGATGCTGAGGGTCGTGCTGATAACTTTGAGGTCTGGGTCGATGACCTCCAGCTATTCCTACAGTGCGATAGGGCAGACAGACTCTCCCTATTCGATCTCACCTCAGGTGCCTCTCCTGCCCCGCCTTCTACTGCTGACAGCACAGTTCGCTCACAGTGGGCCACACGCGATGCTGCTGCCCGCCTTGCTGTGCGTCGCCACTTACCGACCACTGAGCGTGCGCACTTTAGCCAGTACAAGAGTGCTAAGACCTTGTACGACGCTGTAGTTGCACGCTACTCCTCCCCTGCCACTACTGCACTTAGCCGCCTCATGCTGCCTTACCTGTTCCCTGACCTTGCTGCCTTTCCCACACTCGCTGACCTCATTACGCACCTTCGCACTAGTGACACTCGCTACCGCGCTGCGCTTCCTGTTGACATCTGTGCCAAGAACCCCCCCCCCATGTACATCACCCTCTACTACATAGTCACCCGGCTCCCTGACTCCCTTCGCTTAGTCAAGGACCACTTCCTCTCTGTTTGCCCCACCACACTCACCGTTGACCTCCTCGAGGAGCGCCTCCTAGCAGCAAAGAAGAGCATAGTCGCTGTAGGAGCCTATCGTGGTGACCCTCGCACCCCCGTCTTTGAGGGGTGTTCCCCCTCCCCCCTCTTGCCCTCAGTTGCTTCTGCTGCTGCGGCCGACCTTGTTGGTTTCGAGTCGGTTGGCGCTACGTCTGAATTCTGTGCCAAGAACCCCCCCCCCCCATGTACATCACCCTCTACTACATAGTCACCCGGCTCCCTGACTCCCTTCGCTTAGTCAGGGACCACTTCCTCTCTATTTGCCCCACCACACTCACCATTGACCTCCTCGAGGAGCGCCTCCTAGCAGCAGAGAAGAGCATAGTCGCTGTAGGAGCCTCTCGTGGTGACCCTCGCACCCCCGTCTTTGAGGGGAGTTCCCCCTCCCCCCTCTTGCCCTCTGTTGCTTCTGCTGCTGAGGCCGACCTCGTTGGTTTCGAGTCTGTTGGCGCTACGTCTGCCCCTAGCGAAAGACGCCGCACCGGCAAGGGCAAGGGGGGCAAGGGCGCTGGAGGGGCTGGCGGGGGCGGTGGAGGTGGTGGTGGAGGCAGTGGAGGGGGTGGGGGTGGTGTTGGGAGTGGTGGCTGGGGTGGAGGTGTCGGTGGCAGCAGTGGAGGTGGAGGAGGCGGCGGCGGTGGCGGAGGGAGCGGAGGAGGCGGAGGTGGCGGAGGCGGCGGAGGTGGCGGAGGCAGCGGAGGTGGCAGAGGCGGGGGAGGTGGCGGAGGTGGCGGCGGCTGCGGTGGAGCTGGTCGCGGCTCTGCGCAGAGGAGTGGGTCCGGTGGTGGTCCGCGCCAGCAGCGCAGTCGTGAGACCCTGTCCCCTCAGCAGCTTTGTGAGTGGTACGCTGCGCGTCAGCGCGGTGGGGGTACTGGTCCCTGCACCTACGTCCTACGTCAGCGCGGGGGGGCGCACTCCACCCAGCGCTGCTTCGGCCGCTTGACGGACGCGTGGCGTCACCAGTTCCCTGAGGCCTCTGAGATCTCTCGCTGGGGAGAGTTGTCTAGGGCGGGGGTTGCTATCTTTGATCTTGATAATGATGCTATTCTTGCTGCCATGTATGATGTGTCTGATAGTGTTGAGGGTGACTGTTACCTGTGTATTCCGCCTAACCCGGGCATTGAGGCTGCTGCTCTAGGTGCTGGTGAGGCTGCTGCTCTAGATGCTAGTGCGTCTGCAGCTCCAGGTGCTGGTGAGTCTGCTCTCTCAGGTACTACGTCGGCTCAGGCCTTACACACCTTCACCCTTGACTCGGGTGCTTCCCGCTCCTTCTTTCGAGACCGCACCACACTTACGCCGCTTAGTCAGCCGGTTGCAGTCTCCCTGGCGGACCCCTCTGGGGGTCTTGTCCTTGCTAGCTTCTCCACTGTCTTACCGTGCCCGGCAGCCCCCTCTGGCACCCTGTCAGGTCTCAACCTCCCCTCGTTCTCTACGAACTTGGTGAGTGGAGCTCATCTACAGGATAGGGGGGTTGACCAGTTCACTCCTGCGAGTCAGCGGGTGACCCACTGCACGTGTGCTCGGACAGGCCGACACTTGGCCACGTTCACCCGTCGGCCGGGGTCGAGCCTGTACACACTTACTACTGAGTCTCCTCCAGCTGCTGAGTCTGGTCAGGTAGCTGCGTCGAGTCAGGTGTTTGCTGCAGCGTCCAGGTCTGGTCCTGAGTCTGCTCCCTGCTCGTGCCGTCTCCTGTCCCACCAGACTCTCCTTTGGCACCACCGCCTTGGTCACCCCTCCCTGCCTCGTCTCCAAGGCATAGCCTCCCGTGTCCTTGTCTCTGGTCTTCCCTGGTCTCTCCCATCCCCTACCTCCGGGGCCTGCCCCTACCTGCGTCCCCTGCATCGAGGGGAGACAGCGCGCCGCCCCTCACTCCTCCGAGTTTCCTCCGACAGAGGCTCCGCTGCAGACTCTTCACATGGACGTGTGGGGCCCCGCCCGCGTCCGTGGCCAGGGGCACGAGCGTTACTTCCTGTTGGTGGTTGACGACTACTCCCGTTACACCATAGTCTTCCCCTTGCGCAGCAAGGGTGACGTCACTGAGGTGTTGATCGACTGGATCCGCGCAGCTCGTCTCCATCTCAGAGAGAGTTTCGGGTCGGACTTTCCTGTTCTGCGTCTGCACTCTGACCGAGGCGGGGAGTTTTCCTCTGCCCGTCTGGGAGCCTTCTGTCGAGCACAGGGCATCCCCCAGACCTTCACGCTTCCGGCCTCTCCACAGCAAAATGGGATTGCTGAGCGCCGCATTGGCATGGTCATGGACGTCGCTCGTACGTCCATGATCCATGCGGCTGCCCCCCATTTTCTGTGGCCGTTTGCGGTTTAGTACGCAACGCATCAGCTCAACCTTCAGCCCCGGGTCTCCTTGCCAGAGACCTCCCCCACCTTGCGGTGGACGGGGAAGGTTGGCGATGCGTCTGCGTTTCGGGTCTGGGGATCTCGGGCGTTTGTCCGCGACTTCTCTGCAGACAAGCTGTCCCCCCGTGCTGTTCCTTGCGTCTTCCTTGGCTTCCCCCCTGACGCGCCTGGGTGGCAGTTTTACCACCCCACCTCGTGCCGTGTTTTGTCCTCCCATGACGTCACCTTTGACGAGTCGGTGCCTTACTACAGTCTCTTCCCCTACCGCACTGCGCCCCTCCCCCCGTCGCCGCTCTTCCTTGCGCCAGGTCCTCCCCCGGTAGACCCCCTCCCCCCTCAGGGTCCTGCCCCGTCAGGTGTGTCCCAGGTAGACGCAGTCGAGCCTGTCGAGGTAGCTGTTGACTCTGGTGCTGCTAGAGGTGCTGAGCCTACAGGTGCCGGGTGTGATGGTGCGGAACCTGGGGGTGTTGAGTCCAGGGGTGCGGAGCCTGGGGGTGCTGAGCCTGGGGGTGATGAGTCTGGGGGTGCTGAGCCTGGGGGTGCTGAGTCTCGGGGTGCTAAGCCTGGGGGTGCTGAGCCTGGGGGTGCGGAGCCTGGGGTTGATGGGTTTACTCGTGTGGCCTCTCGCGATGCTTCGTCGAGGCGGGAGTGGTTTGCCCAGCGCTGGAGCCGTGCTGCTGGAGCTGGAGGTACTACTGTTGCTGCTGGTCCCGGTGGTTCTCGTACTGGCGGTGCTGGAGCTGCTGGGACTGGGAGCACTACTGGAGCTGCTGGAGTTGGTCCTGCTGGAGGTACTGCTGGAGCTGCTGGCGGTACGGGAGCTGGCGGTCCTGCAGGAGCTGGAGCTGGAGCTGCTGGGGA